TTTTATTCTATTTTATACATTCACATGTTCATAGGATTAATCAAATGTATCTTCTCTTATCTATAATAGTGAAAATATGCTTTATTCACAGCCATACACACATGAGGATTCTCCTTTTCACCAGGAAAAATGTAAAACCTGGAGTTGAACTATAATCAAATACTAAGTGACCTGTCATCGAGAATCAGTCGTCCACTCTGTAGCAACTCTTGGACATCGGTGGATGTGCCAAAGACTTCATGGAGTCCCAGCTGAGGGCTGAACATCTCCCAGTGCTGTTAAATACGAGGAAATTATCACAAACGACATTAGGGCATTACACAAAAGTCACTTAAGGTTTTGTTGGAAACTGTGCCGAATAATTTGTGTCATGAAGCTTAAAAAATGTTTTCACCTCCTGATCGATGCCCTCTGTCATTCTCATCCCCATCACTAGCACCTCCTCCAATCTGCCAAACAGAAATGTTTCAAAACACCACTTCTGCAGTGACCAGACCTTGATGATAACAAGGACAGAGCAGAGCGAGCAAATGGACTCAATGATAATAATGATTCACAGCGACAGAATGTCTGAGAGAACAAGTACATTGATAGTAACCTCTGACATTATGTTCCTCACACTGTGTTCGTGGATTTACCAATACATGATTGTTACATTTCACATTTTGTACTAAAAATGGCAGCTGCCCTCTCGTGTTCAACGCTCATTAGCATATATAACACTACTGCGTGTAAGTGCAACAGCTCACAGTTCAAGATGGCTGAGCTGAACCCTCCTACGCGTCCCGTGTCCATTATGTCGGACTTCACGAATCCACACGTCAGGCTCAAGAGTCTGGGTCCGTGCCTCCCGAGCGACACCTCCCTCCCCGAGAGGAACAAAGCGGCCGTGTGCTCCTGTTGCGGAAAAAAAGTTTTTTAAAAACCGACCTGCAACGATAAAATACATTTTTTTTCAATCTGTGTAACAGATCACCTGGGCCGACGCCGATGTACTGTCTTCCTTTCCAGTAGGTCACATTGTGATGACTCACTGCATTCTGCATGACAAAGATAAAAACTGTTACCAAGTCGTTGTGATTGTTTCTCTCAGACGTGTTTCTAGGTCAGCTCGCTGTGAAACAGAGCATCTGCCTGCTTCACGGAGTGTCTGTTTATTTGTTGGTGAACTCTTTTCAACAGAAACTAAATAGAAAATATGTGTAAAACCCTGGAGTGAACTATAAACAGCACCACACTTCGACAGGGGGGTTATCTTTTCTCCTGTTTGTTTGACTGTGAGCAAGATTACACAAAAACTACTGGATAGATCACAACAAAACTTTGTGAAAGGATGCAGTAGGGGTCAGGGTAAGGTTCCAGGAATTCTTTCGCATATTTTTTGACAATGTGAGATGGGACGTCTTTCAACATTTTCTCATTAACCTTTAAAAAAAAGGCAACTGATATCTGAGTGTGGGAAATTTGGTGCAGCTTGATTTAATTCAAAGGGACTATTGGACCTTGGCAGAGGTATACGGCTCAAAAACATAAGAAGAGAGAATCAAGGAGGAGGAAAACATTTTTGGAGTCAATAAAGAAATGTGATTCTCCTAAGGACTTACACTTCTTGCAAAGTTCGACACTTCGTACTGCAGGAAGCCATTCTGGTGGAGAGTCCTCCTGGCGAACTGGTACATCTCCGCCGTCACGTCGTCAGCAGGAACCGTCACTTCCCCTTGTTGCACCAGTTTGAACATCTGGGTGCCTCGCTCCAGAGTCAGCTGGTACAGAGACACGTGGTTGTCGCACACCCTCAGCAGCTCAGACAACTCTTCCTCCCAGGATTCAACGCTCTGTTTGGGGCGTCCGAACATGACATCTACCGACACCCTCCCCGGGCACAGCCTCCGGGCCTCCTCAATGGTTAGCAAAGCCTGATGGGAACTGTGGTCTCTTCCCAGAATTTTCAAATCATCATCCTGCAAAGACTGAAGTATTGGAAATGTGATATAGAAAGTGTAACCACACAATAATCTGTTCTGATAAGGCGTCTTTCGGTTTTACTCACCTGGACACCGATGGAGAAGCGGTTCACCCCGGCTCGGCAGTAATCCTCCAACTTTGACATTGCTGCAGGAGTGGGGTTGACCTCGAGCGTGACCTCGGCCTCATCTGACAGATTCACCTGCCTGGAGACAGTTTCGAGGATGGCGGCGATGGTCGATGGGTGCGTCAGGCTGGGGGTCCCGCCGCCAAAAAACACAGAGGTGATGCTGCAGATGAAAATAAAGGAGGGTGTGTTTAAAGCTGTGCAGGATACCGGATGATTTCATGAGAGGTGTAGAAAACGTCACCTATACCTGGACGCCTGACTGAGCTGCAGCAGCGTCTCGGCCTCCCGCTGCAGGCACTCAGTCATGATGTGGTGGTTGTCCTCTCTGGGTATGTACTTGTTAAAGTTGCAGTAGGGACATCTCCTGAGGCAGTAAGGCCACTGGAAAGGATGGAGGAGGCCTTTGAAATCATTTGGGGCAAAACTTTCTCATGACATGACATAGATTTTTGCACTGAAAATAAAAATCTATTCATTTGACATTCGCGCGTGTATCTGTGCACAGAAATATCTCATCAGTTCAATTGACCAGGAGCCAGCTCACGTGCACGTAGAGAGACGCCTGCCCTGTGAGAGCTGGAGATCCTGATCCTTCAAACACGTCCTCAATTACTTGTCCACCAGACAGGAGGCGCGGAGCGGAGGAGAGGGCGCGTCTGACCGCAGGAAACGTGAGTCCGATGGTTCTGGTGACAGGATTCATCTCTTTCTCCAGACTCGTCACTTCACATCCAGTTTGTCCTTCATCGCTCGAACACGTGGTTCCTCACTGCACGCGCCTGACTCCATCATCTCCGATCATCACACGTTTCTATGACAACCACGTGGCCAAAGTAACCACAAAGTCGCCGATTACGTTGTTTGCTGTCAATGTCGCGTGGATCCAAACTGGACACTGTAAACAGGAAATACGTCAACGTGGTTTCCTCTGTATGCGCCGCGATGTTTGACCACACAGGGGCGCTGTGTTACCAGTGCAGCTGTAAGTAAATCACTTTAACCAACAACAAGTACAAGGTGCTGAGGACAGATCACAAGTCAGAACATTGTCAGAGCCCTTGAGTCTTGCGAGTCCACATAAACAATATAACTATATAAGTAGGCATCAACTAGTGTGGTTAGACATACAAGGGATATTCAGGGTTAACACTAAACATCACAACACCTAAACATGGATGTCTGAATAGTGACTTAGGCCTAAAGATCATCTTCATGCACACGGTTAAGTTAAGTATCAGAAGGTCTCTGTGCACACTGGTGTTTGTTGTTGCAGAGACAACACATAAAGACACTAGTCTATATTTGGAATATTATTTGTGCTCTACTCGCACAGGATCAAACGAATCTAATGAGGTATTGATCTCCCTGAACCCAGGAAAAACATTGTCTGGTGGGCTGACAGTGAAATAACCTTGTATCGGGTCACCTTCAAAAATGTGAATATTAATAGCAATGTTGGAAAATATCATCGCTATCACTGAAAGCATTCACTCCTTGGGGTTCCAGTTAATGGAAATTGTTTTATTTCCTTTTATGTAAGAGCCAACACAACACAATCCAGAGCTCATCTGCGAATGACTGCCTCTGATTAACACTGATTCAATTTGCAGAATTTATTGTGAGGAATCAGTGTGTTGGTGTGTGTGTGCGTGTGTTTCTGTGTTTGTGTGTGTGTGAGATGAAGAAATGGGCCAGTCAAAATCCACAATGAGAAAAATGTACAGCTGCTCTCATCCTCTGCTGTATATATTTTTTTCCAAAATGTGACAATAAACTCAAATTCATTGAGTGATCAATCAATGCATTTCATTAAAGGTGTCAATAAATGTGAATGCACTCACTGCCAGCTTCTGACCCTGAGGACAATTTCCACTTAATATTAACTCCAGTGCCCAATTACCTCATCAACAAAGAGAGGGAGGGAACAGACTGTGATAAAAAATGTTTTCACTGAACACATGCAGCAGTTACGGTGATGAGATCGGTTCAGTGAGACGCTGGAAAACTTTGAGACGATCCAAATTAAAAGTCTGTGCTGTAAATCTGGCAAATGGACAAGAGGAAGAAAGGTAAGCTTACAAATTTATTTTACAAAGGGTGAATGGAAATCCACTAATGCTCTGTTTTATTTGGTCAGTTTGAAAAGAAGACAACAGCTCAACAATAGGATGATGGTCAGGCTTATTTCTTGGAGAGGAAGGTTCTTCTCCATGAGGAAGGTTGAATTCAAACTCCAGAGACAATGGTTCTCAGTTAATAAACTTTAATCAAGACAAAGAAATCCAAAGTATTTATACACAGTAGCTCTTCAGACCACAAACAACACATGAGCCATAACTCATGAGGCACCATAGATTGTTTCTTATCAATTAATCCAAACATATTTTTCTTTGCAGTCTGCACCATTGCACTATTGTCCTCTGGTCACAATTCCATAATATTTGCATAATAGTTGAATGTATGTCCACTCTTGCTCTGTACTGTTGCACTACTGTCTTGTACAGTTTCACAATATTTGCAGATATAGTAATGTTTCATTTTGCATTTATTTGGCGTAAATTCAACTACACTTCTCTTTTCACAGGATCTCCAACAGAATTAAGGCTGATGGTGGTCGGTAGCAGTGGACACTCTCAGTTCCTACTGACCAACGCCATACTAGGGAGGGAGGAGTTTCCTAAGGACATCACCAGCATTTCTGGCAGCAGGAAGAACACTGGAGAGCTGGCTGGAAGACGAGTGGCTGTGATCAATGGGCCAAACATCTATGACAAGGATATGTCTCCACCCAAGAGGAAGATGGAGCTGAGGAGGTCTAAGTGCTTGTGTATTCCTGGTCCCCACGCCTTCCTTGTTGCTTTTGACATGGACAAAATCTCCCCGAATGACATAAAAACCCAGAGACTGATGAAGGAACGCTTTGGGAGTCACTGTCTCAGGCACTGCATGATCCTCCTGGCTTCTGAAAGAAATCCAGAGGAAGCTCTCTTGGAGAGCAAGGTGCAGAAGACTGACTGGCACCTGAGAGAACTCATCGAGAAGTATGGCGGACGCTTTCACGTCTTCAGCAAGAACTGGCGAGATCGCAGCCAGGACAGAGAGCTGCTGCAGAAGATAGAGAGGATGGTGGCATCCTTAGGGGGGAGCTACTTCACCAGCAGAACTTTCCAGAAGGCGGAGGACTGCGTGAAGAAGGAGGAGAAGAAACTCCGGAAGCAGAGGGCAGCAGAGATAGAGAAGGCATGGACCGACATGGAGAAGCGGTACATAGCGGACGAGTTGTATCACCAGAAGGACGTCTACACCGCCAGTGTTGGCGCTGATATCAGAGCCAAGGCAGAGATGGACAACGGGTGGCTCAGAACATCCCTGGCCAGAGGGCTGGGGACAGGTTTTGTTGTGGGGGCTGTTATGGGAGCATTGGTCGGCTCTATAGAGGGGCCAGGTGGGATGGTTCTTTATGGGATCATAGGTGGTGCAGTTGGAGGATCAGCAGGTGGAACAGCCCAGGTAGCTATAAAGCATATGGAGGACAGAGTGGCTCCACCTGCCAGACTCAACTTTAACTCAATCTTCATCAATCGTTTCTTCACCGCTACTCGACCATGACAACATGGCACTGACTTCTTCCCTGTTTTTCATGAAGACAGTGAAAAGAAAAACTAAATATCATTTGCTCTTGGCTTTGAACTGTTGGTTATAAAGCTATCAAGTTGACTAAGTAGCAAGAGAAGGAAATGTACAACTCCCAAACTTTCTCCCATGCTCCTTTTTATTTTATTATTTTTTGCACAAGTTATATCATTTACTGTTCTATACTATGCTACTGTTAAGGGGATTACTACGGTGGCCCTAAGGTGCAAAACACAACATCAAATGAAAAAAGAAAACGGAAAATGGGAAAACATTTATTAACAGTCTCTGCCTCTAACGGATAAGGAAGGTTCCTATGATTGACAAAGCTCGTCGCTGATTGGACAGATGCAATGTCTGTCTTTTCAACCAAATGGAGATGCTGGAAAAACGTTTCATGTGAGGTGTCGTTGTGTTGTCTTTTTTGCTGCTGTGTTTTGTAATCTGTTGTTGTCTTTTCTGCACTTCAGGGCCACTGTTGATTACTTCTGGTCAAAAACAATAAATCTCACATCTACTAGACTGTAAATTAGTACATTTGAAATAAATGTAGTTGTGGTAACTGACAGCGTGTTTGCTGTTTGATTTCGCTTTCGTTCTATAAATACGTTCCTTTTTTTCCCAGCCACCATTTCCTGGAGTCTTGCTGTGTGGGTTAGTTAAAGTGTAGCTCAGATAACATCCAGGGTGGAGTTTTACCTGGGAGTGCCATTGTCTGAAGCTCTGCCCCTTTCCTACACAACACACACACATACCTTAGTACACCTGTCAACCATTGTAGTCTTGCGATACCCTGAAACCCAGAACAGAAGCAGAGCAGGTTGTCCGCAGTGACCAACTAAAGGTAAGACCACATTTGTGACTTTTCTATATTGTTTCACTTTTGTTGGAACATACTTATCAGACCTCTGAATCAGTGAAGAACATGTTACATAAGCGGAGATTGTTTCCTGGCTGAATGTCAACACCAGAGCACAATGGAGTCAAAACTCAGGGATCACACCTCTCGTGAGAAGCAACCTAAAGCATTCAGTAATCACCACTCTGTGTTGAGGTGACATTGAGACGATTTGCCTGTTACCTGTTTGACTACATGCTTCCCATCGCATCTTTCACTTTGCTGCTTCTGTTCTCTTGGTCTATGAGCAAAAATAAATTCTTTCAAATGTGTGAGGAAGCGAAAACCAAAAGATATCATCGCAGGAATATAATCCAGGTTGGACTTCACTAGAATGACATGAATCACGTGTCCGGTTCTTTGTTTATCATTATATAATATGAGAGGAATGCTGCTGTGCTCTGGAACATGACGTCCCTTCCTCTGGAACGTCTGAGTGCTGCAAAATGTATTTTCTACTTGTGGTAAACAACCAATATTTTAAATGTAAATCATGTACTCATATACAGTGGTGATTTACTCAAGCACAATACTTTGAGATTCTACTTGATTTACTTTAGTATTTCTGTTTTCTGCTATTACATTTCAAAGGAACATACTTTTACTCTGCATTATTTGACAGATATAGATATAACTATTATTTATTTTCTGTTGGAAAGGCTCAAACTCCTAGAACCACTGGATTAAACAACCCTAAAATTAATTGTATATAAAGTACAAGATATTCTTGATAGCCCTTTATTGCGTAAGGTACCAAAATGCCCTCTTTATTTTAATCTGACAGTTGATTTCTGTAACTCTCTCTCTTTCTCAAAAAAATCTTTTCTTCATACTTGGTTGACATTGCCATCATATCATTGTCACTTTCAGAGAATGGCCTCTACCATCAGCCTCCTTTCTGAGAAGCACTTTTTGTGCGCCCTGTGCAGAGACATCTTCACCAGCCCGGTGACCATACCATGCGGACACAGCTTCTGCTTGTCCTGCCTGAGCCAGTACTGGGCCCGACACCAGTCCAAATATTGCCCCCACTGTAAGAGAGTGTTCACTGACAGGCCCGACCTCAGCGTCAATCACATCCTGGCAGACATCTCCGACAACTACAGGAAGACTCGGCCACAGCAACCACCTGATGAGGAATTGGTATTCCTACTTTTGTCTGCTTTTTTGATCAAATAATCAGAGGTTATAGACTGTAATAATGAATCAATCTGATATATTTGTGTCACTGTTGTACATGTGCAGATTATAGATGTCGAGCAGATGATCCAGGAAAGGCTGCAGAAGATAGAGAGGTTGAAATATTCTCTCGAGGTGCAGAAGGTGCGTTGAAAACCTCTATGAAAACATCTGGAACACTTTGTCTATTCCTAAAAATGCCTACAACTGAATGATGGTGGTGTCCAATCAGAGCTCTTACCTGAGGGAGGTGCGAGAGAGCCAGAAGGTCTTCTCTGCCCTGGTGTACGCCATGGAGAAGAGCCACAAAGCAGTTGTTAGTGCAATCGAGGAGAGACAAAGAGATGAGGAGAAGCGAGTGGAGACGCTGGTGAAGGAGCTGGAGCAGGAGATCCAGGAGCTGAGGAAGGAGACCACAGAGTCTGACCACCAGATTTCTGTGAGCTGCGATCAAAGTGACGACACGAAGCAAATTAACTTGGTGAGCATCTTCATCTGTGACAAGGCCACACTCTCAGTGTAATTTTTACAGCTTATCTTTTTGTCACCCAGAACACTATTTCCATCTTGGACATGAAGGACTGGTCCAAGGTTACTATAGAGACAGACCCTTGTGTCGGGGTTACCAGACGTGCACTGTCCAACATTATGGACAAGATGAGAGCAGAAGTCAACAGGCTCTCCAAATCTGGTCAGTCATACATTTCTTAAACATATCTCACATTGAGTATTAAATCAACATTAAATAGATCCATCATATTTCAATATCAGTGACTTTTCTTTCTCCTGTCGCTCTTCCTCTACAGAACTTAAAAGAACAGAGAAATACACAGGTAAGATTTTGTCTACACACAAATCAATATTAGAGAGAAATCATCAAAAAACAAAAGGGCATTTTTTCTTAACATCCCTGACCCCACATTTATATTTCAACATTTTCTGCATAATTAAAAATAGAAATCAAAAAGCCAAACATCGAGGATCATGTGTGCTCAATATGTCATTAAAGATCCTTTGACTTTTTTAGTCATTAATGACAGAATGATTCGTATAACTCCTGATTGTGTTAAAATATTAGCGGGAGGACTTCACATTTTCTGAGCCAGCATTTTCTACGTCAATACTACAATATACAATGAGGGTTTTGCAATTTTGAAAACTTGAATAAAATAATTAAGGCCCCTCCCAACCCCAGTCCTGTGTTGTTTGTCCCATTCTTGACCTTTTCTCATCCCTCTTTTCCAGTGGATGTCAATCTGAGTGCCAAGACAGCCCACCCGTGCCTCTCTGTCTCAGACGACAGGAAACAGGTGAAGCACACGGACAAGCTTCAGGAGGTGCCAGATCACCCCAAGCGCTTTGACCGTGTGGCAAACGTGCTTGCCAAGGAAAGCTTCAGCAGTGGGAGGTGTTACTGGGAGGTGGAGGTCGGGGAGAAGCTTGAGTGGAGCCTAGGCGTCGTCAAACAGTCCATAAACAGGAAGGGCAAGTTCACCGTCTGCCCTGCTAATGGTTTCTGGACTTTAAGCCTCAAGGCTGGAGGCCAGTACATTGCCAACACCTCTCCCGTCACCCAGTTGGCCCTGGAGCATAAGCCCAGGAAGCTGGGTGTGTTTGTGGACTACACAGAGGGCCGCGTGTCCTTCTACTGCGCAGAATCTGGGGTCCACATTTACACCTTCACAGACACTTTCACTGATAGGCTTCATCCCTTCTTCAGTCCTGGTCGCCTGCACGGTGGCAAAAATGCTGCTCCACTCATCATCGGTTCCAGTTTTTGCAGCATCTGAGACTCATTCTCACATATCTCCACTTCCAAAACAGCCACTATTCCTGCTATTATTCTGTGCGATAAATGTATTTAATAATTTATATGAACATCTACTGTGAACCACATTTTCCCAGTCAGAACAGTGAACACGGGTTGTACAAGGACCGAGGCTCTACACTTGAAAAACTTCAATGAAACCCATAAACAGATTGAAAAGGACAGAGGAGGTTGGGAGAAAAGAGAAGGCTCTCATAAATGAACAAGTGAGTCAAAGTCAAAAGAAGAGGAGAAAATGGGCTGCTGAGTTGGATGGATGGTAGGGGGTGCAGGGTTGGGACAGAGGTTGACGCGGAGCAGGGGGAGGGAGGGCACAGCCAAACAGCAGGGCATTGTGCTTGTACACCAGGCACTGGGAGACACACTCAAACACGTTCACGCATTCACACAATAACACGGCCGTGCACACAAGCGCATGCTTCTGCCCACTGCCACACAGACTCGCGCTGGCATCTGGGAGGGCAGCCCCATCTCCACTCCTGTCCTGGGTTGTTGGAGCTGATAGACCCCCCCTGTCACTGTAGTCCAGCTGACCCCTCGGACAGAGCCGTCCCTGCTCCTCAGCCTGCCTGTGGACTAAGGTGAATTCTCAGGGCCGTCATTCACTACTCAGAGTGTCCACAGCTGATCTACACAAGCCCGAGGACCAGTAACACCAGCCTATTGGACCAAGGAGAGCAGACAGTCCACCATACTTCATCTGAGGTAAATATCCTCTATAAGTGCATTGGAGACATGTCCAAAGATTCCAACTAATTTAACAGACATATAATTATTTTTATATGATAAAGACATTTGTGAATGTGAAATGTGAAAAGAGTTTGAGAGAATATAAATAATATTCCCTGTAAGTGTTTCATTATATTTTCAGCTGTAGCACAAGTTGATATCCCTGTTTAAGTAGTGATAGGGTTGGAGGTGTATAGGTAGGTTAAAAAGTATCCTACTCATAAAAGGCAAAACCATTAGCTCTACCAAGAATAAGACACAGATAAAGTGGTATGGGGCCTTCAGGGGACAATGAGGGGGGGGGGACTTTGGGCATTGTTCTTGAACATGAATTTATTCACAATGATTTAAAACAGTTGGAGAAGCCAGCCAGTCAAAATGGTTATTCTGGTTTCTCAGATTTAATATCTATAATCTATTTTTTATCTCCTATTTAAAAGATATAGATGTATTTTTTTTCTAGAAAAAAATGTCCATAGTTGGATAAGTAATTTATGAAATAGAGATTTTCTGGGTTAAAACTTGTGTCTTTTATCTTTATTAATCTATCAGAAGCACTTCTGGAGGGTTTGATTCACAGAATTAGTGCAATGCGGACACTGAGTGCTATGATAAATAGATGATACAGGTCTTCCTGGCCCACTCTACAAGCCTTCATGAAAGCTGCTTGTGTTCAGAGTCTCCTCATGTTTTTCTGAGATAATCCACTCACCCGGCAAGGCGTAGCTAGACACCCACAGCTATGTCAAAGAAGGCTATTCTCTGTGCTTCACTGGAATCCACTAAACATGGGCCTCCCAGCCCAAATATTTATGATAACTACTTTATATGCCCCATTAGTCTTTTCATGCTTGGCCAATGTAATGTTTTCAATAGTAGCAACAAGTTATGCATATTTTCTTATTTTCAATTGCGTGTATGCTGCTGAGTATAAATGGATTTACATTGATCCTTTTTTCCCCTGAAATTTAGGATACCCGACCTGAAGTCTGAGGATCCAGTGGTGGAGCACATCATTTGCAGAACTGTAGACAGTCACATTTCTATTGTGGGACTATAACTGGGCCCTCTGCAACAGACAGAGACTGATAAAAAACAAAGACCAATCCATTTGATCCAAAAAACATCTGTCACCATGGCAACAACAGGCATGCAGTTGCTGGGCCTAATCATGTCCCTTGTGGGCTGGGTGAGTGGGGCGGTAGTCTGTGCCCTCCCCCTGTGGAGGGTCACTGCCTTCATCGGTAACAACATAGTGACGGCTCAGATCATTTGGGAAGGCCTCTGGATGAATTGCATTGTGCAGAGCACAGGTCAGATCCAGTGTAAGGTATACGACAGCTTGCTGGCTCTGCCCAGTGACATGCAAGCGGCCCGGGGTCTCACTGTCTTCTCCGTCCTGCTCTGTGGCCTGGCTCTGTCTCTGGGGGTCCTAGGAGTCAAGTGCACTAAGTGCGTCGGTGTAAACAGCCTCAAAGCCCGCATTGCCCGCATCTCTGGAGCCCTCTTTGCCATCGCAGGGTTCCTCTACCTTGTGCCTGTCTGCTGGACTGCTCACTCCATCATCAGGGATTTCTATGACCCACATGTAGCAGCTCCACACAAGCGAGAGCTCGGCCCTGCCCTTTACATTGGCTGGGGGGCCTCAGCCTTGCTCCTCATTGGAGGATCTCTGCTCTATGCCGGGTCAAGTCCCCCTGGCATCCCAGGCTCTCCCACTTTCAGCAGTGGAGAAAGTAGTCCTCGCAGGGCACCTGCCTCACAAGTTAAAGGTTATGTCTAAGTTCCCTGAATCTGAATACCATCAAGTCTCACAGATCCACCCCAAAATATGACAAACCTGTTTTCTGTCCTCTTGATTTTGCTCCTTGTAATGATTTTATATTTAATGTTATACCAGTTTGCTTTTTTCTTTGAAAAGCCATAGGAGGCTGTTTAGAGAAAATGAACTCATTCTATGATTTCATACCTGATCCTCAAATAACATCTTTTCTCTGTCTGTCAGTGTAAAATACAATAAAGTTTTGGTTGTCCAAATATTCTACAGAAGGAAATTTGTGTGTGTCCAAATTTACCATGATTACTGATATAAAACCCCTTCATACAATCACCCAACCATATGTGTTAGAGAGAAGTAGTGCTTCTTAAAGGCAAATCTTTGTTTGGCTCATTTATGTAAATGCTTCTATGTGTTCTACTGAGTGGAACAATAGAACAATGGGGGTGTGTGTACATTTGATGGTGGTGCCATAAAATGTGTGTGTGTGTGTGTGTGTGTGTGTGTGATGTTCCATCCTCCTCTCTCTCACAGCAACCCAGGTCCAAGGAAAATATTATTTTTAATGTATTTAATGAAAATCATGTAATTCCAAATACAGTGACCCAGACTCGGTTGACCTCAAAACTCCTCTTACTCATCAGTCATAATCACACTGGGTAAGAGCTCACTGATAAGGCTGAAGGCTAAGTGATATATGACAGTAAAATAGATCGACTCTTAGAATGTGAAAGTCATATGCTCTGTGTGTGTGTGTGTGTGTCAGTGTCAGTGTAATGTGGGATGCCTCAAGCCAAAGTTATGAAAACTCTATTCATGAGACATTGTTCATTCAGATTCAGATTAACTTTGAATTTCAAAAACAATTTCACGAAATGAAATGATAGTGTCTTGGAGTTGAATCTGTATTTTTCCTTTACAAACTAAATTTCCAAAATGACAATATGGATAAGACATGTATTTACAGTACTTTTTGACACATTGGTTAGGGTTTAGATTTCCAGATCAGTTTTTCTTTCTGTTTGTGACAGCAGAGGACAGAGCACCACAATGCCACATTATCGACACTACAACACAACTATAACAATGGGCATCAGTGTCCCTAGTGCCAGGTAGTGACTCATTCATGACCTAAGCAGGCCTATACCAATGCTGGTAAAGTAATGCTGAGAATACAGTAAGACAATCTGTGCTTTTGGAAAAACACAGTGAGACAAGTGCACTATTTACACTGTAAATAATCAGTCCACACAGTTCTTGTACAATTTTACCATACTGACTATAAAGAATAATTGATAATATACTCTATTAGGAGCTAAATTATCCACAGGCTCAACCACAGAACAATGGGGGTGGAGTTTGACGTCACCCTGTTGCCAGGTCACCAGCCTTACAGTATTTTCTCAATTTTCTGGATTTGTATAGTTGTCTGAATATGAAGACATATATGTCTGAATTTATTCTTTTTCAAGAGACCTCCGTCAAAATAAAAGAAATACTGTTTAGGAAATGGCTGTTTAAACTGAATGGCTTCGCATGTGTTTTAAAATGGAATTTGACATCAGAGTAATACAATATACAGCAAAAATAAGTGCACCACTGTCAATATGATATGAGGCCTTCCTAGTTTAATGTTTGCGGACTTTGCACCTTTAACCACACCCGCCAGTGATGTCACATGGTACCACTGGAGGCCAAAAAAGATTATCAGTGGATCTGTTACCGCAGCTTGACTGGTCTACATTTTTTTGCACATTTAATACACTGAAGGAATCAATCATTACTTGACCATAACTATTACATTTATGTTAGATGCAGCCTGTTATGGATCAGTAATATGTTGTTGTAATTAACTATTTGACCCAAATAATACAATTACTACTACTGCTACTACTTATAATAATAATAATAATAATTAATTAATATTAAGTTGTCGTAAAAACTCAAAAGGTGTTTTGTTTGTCCTGTCTGGACTACTGTTAAAAACATGGCAGCCTCCGTATAGAGGACACCCTCGATGTAAATATAAAGTATTTAAATATAAAGGGCCCCTCTTAGAGTAAAGGAAACAACAATTCATACAATTTATAGAAACCGAGTAATGAAAACATCACTACGATTATTTTATATTCAATCCCTTTCACTTAAATCTTACCCACAGGACCTTTAAATAAAGTTTCTCCAAAATCTACCTGCTGTTTTACGTTTCAGTCGCTAGGGGGAGCAGATCCCTCCGCCTCGCTGGTGTCTGCGCCGGAAGCAGGAAGTAGGAAGAGCAGTACAGCTGTGCTCCGTGGCTAACAGAGAAGCTAACAGGCTAACCTCAGCGGTGGAAGTACCAGGCTCCGTTGACCAAACCAGATCCTCTACAGCGACTTTGACGCTCCGAATCCAACATGGGGAAGGGCGGAGGCACATTTGAGAGGCTTCTCGGTGAGTTATCCGCACATTCGTCAAGTTGTCGGTTTATCAGCCAAGTGTGAGTCGAAGTGCGACGTCTCCCAGCGCATTGTTTTGACAGACGCTGGGGCTGTGGCTCTCGGGCCAGCTAATTCTAGCCTGCTAACACATTCGTTGCTATTGTTTGGGCGACCGGTTCAGGCTAACCACCTTTTTAGCAACCTGGCTAATTAGATGGTAAAATCTTATTTGTCGCGTATTCTATTCGGATCAGGGTCTCATCAAACCCATGTCTTTTGTGTTGTTGTTGTTCAGCTACTAGCCAAGAAAAAAAATCCTGTCGATCCACTTCAGACAGGATAACACTTGAACGTTGGATATAGTCACACATGAATTACGTTATTGTGTGAGTCTTACCGTGTCATCATTTCTGACTTGTTGTGTTGTCTTGAGTTTATAATCACAACAGGTTGATTAGGTAGCTGCTAATCTCCTCCATTTTGAGATCCATGTTTCACTGAGTTTACCAACTCTTTATTTTAAATTCCAGTTGTCACATTAAAATATTAGACAGCAGGGATTAGTGAACTCCAGCACTATCTAAAGAAAAAATCAAATTAAATGTGTGTCATCATGCTGTAGGTGAAGGTGGATCCATGAATCTAGCTGGAAATAGAAAGCTAATCAAATCAGAGAATATTCCTTAATTAAAGTAATAACAGGGTGGAGATAATTTACCAATACCCATACTTGTAGTTGGCAGAGATTAATCTGCAAAAGCCCCTGGGTTAAATGTGAGCTGACACCCCATAATCGCCCAGTCGATAAACCACTTTCTGTGCAGTGGCCTGGTCATTTGAAACACTTAGAAATACACACCATGTTAATGTATAACCTTTCTGAAACTAATCAAATATATAGTCCACAAAGTGCCTCAAGATCAGGCCCAAAGGAAAACCCTCATTTTAAGTCCCTGGGTGTAAAGGGACACGTTGCCATATCAGGACATATTTCCATATTAACAAATACACTGTTAGTCAGATTACCACAGACCAACAGCATCACTTCCCAGTTGAAACTTTTGGATCAAGGCAGCCAACTACCTCATGTTACGAAACTTTACGTGAATCACAAATAATTTG